GAAAGAGGTGCAGGAGCTCATTAGCATAACTCACTAGCATAACCCATTTGCATATGCCACACCCCCTGACATCACCGGAAGTGTGTCAGAAGGCAACACCCACCGCTCAGGCTCCACTGGACTGTTTGGGATTGCTAGCTATTGGAGGGGGGGTGCAGATCTGTCCTCGCAGAGGAGGGAGAGCTTGTACCTGAATAAAACTTGGTCTTAAAGGTGCCACTGGACTGTTTTGGGCCGGGGGGAGCTCTGCAACTTCTTGCTCTGACTGAGGGCTGCTGAGAGCAGGGGGAGGGGCTTGTTGCATGTGCCTGCCCCCTGGGCTCTTTACTGCCGGAGCTCTGCTCCTGTGCGCTCCTGCAGGAAATGACCCCTGCTTGGATGGGAGACAGCCCCATAGCCAGGATTTTGTAATGGGGGGGGGCTTTAAATAAGTCGGGGGCCACTGACATCACAAAATAAAAAATACATTTTAATTTTAAAAAGTTACGCTTGCCCGTTGGAGCAGGCAGGTATTCACTTCCGTTCACTCCCATCCAGTAGTCCTGCAGACCATTCACACCATGGCTCATTGACATCGTCATGTGGTCCGCCATGGGAACCTGGGCACCCAAAGGTGGCAGTGATCCGAAGAACAGCTTGCAACACAACAAAAGCATGTGGCAGGAGCGCAGACGTGTGTCATTTTTGCTGGATGAAAGTCGAGGAGCCTTGGTAGGCAGTCAGGGGGCTGGGCGGCGAAATGCACCACTGTAGCTATGGGCCTGATGGGAGACCTCCTTGAAATGCCAGAGGCAGGGGCAGGCTTTATTCAGCCACCTCTCTGAATATCCTCCAGGCCCCCAGTAGGGGTCAGTCACCAGAGGGGTCGCCATGACATCCAAGTGCACACACACACACACTCACACGCACACACAAGAATAGACATGCACATATGAAAAATACAAAAAAAAAAAAAACCCATAAGCAGATTATGGGAAATGTGGGAAATGTATGTTCACAATGTGCTGTGCAGTTATTTTTGTTGATGAGCGCCTTGTCCTCCCTCATTAGCTGCTCCGGCCCTTCCAAAGCCGCGCAGGTTGTCCCAGACAGAAAGGTAGCTGGGTAGGCATTGTATACTTCTCCTCGGGACTTGGGCCATAATGTCACAGGTACCAGAGAGCCTGTTTAATTAAGAAAAAACACACCGCTTCACTCGAGCTCGGGCAGATGTGGCTACGTTATCAATTGCCAGCAAACAAGACTTTGCAAAGCAGTCGCTGACTCCGACAAAAGAGCCAAGAGCCCCTTCCGACGCTTTTAATGAGCCATCGGTCTTGCGGTACCCTTGACGTCGCAATCTGGAATGTGTAAGATAATGCCGTCTCTCCAGCGTAGACATTAAAAGGATTCCTCGTTACCCATAAAAGCAGCTCATTTGTGTGCCAAAAGCCATGAAAAGAGGCATCCTCCAACCGGATGTGGGGAAGTTGTGTTTCTCAAAGCAAATAACAAAACTCATTAATCGGCTTCTTTGCTTCCGGGTTCTTCAGAGAAGCTTCGCCACTGATCTGCAGATTAATGATTCTGTCTAGACCACATTTCACCAAGGAATTGACACTTCTATGAGCAGAAGGTTTCTTGCTAATAATGTAAGATGTCCAGGGGTCATTTCCTGCAGGAGTGCGCAGGAATGAAGCTCTGGCAGTAAAGAGCCCAGGGGGCGGGCACATGCAACAAGCCCCACCCCCCTGCTCCCAGTCAGAGCAAGAAGCAGCCAGGTAAGATGCAGACCCCCCCACCTCGGTCCAAAACAGTCCAGTGGCACCTTTAAGACCAAGGTTTATTCAGGTACAAGCTCTCCCTCCTCTGCAAGGACAGATCTGCATGTCCCCCCCCCCACCCAAACAGTCCTGGGTGTTGCTTTCTGACACACTTCCGGTGATGTCAGGGGGCGTGGCATATGCAAATAAGTTATGCTAATGAGTCATGCTAATGAGCTCCTGCACTTATTTTTCTACGAAATGACCCCTGATAGATGTCTATCATTAGGGGCAGACGGGTCTTCTCAAAGTGTTTGGGGTGCTGGTGGAACTGAGGGACGGTTGGCCACCTCAGGAAGTTCTACTGATTCTGTCGTGCCTGAGCTAATAGGAAAATCCCATTTTTTAGTCTAGGTTGCTTCCACACAGAGCTGAGTCCCCTCAGGGCACTCATTGCCATATTGAATGCAGGTACACGGTGCCATTTAGCTACACAGTGCCAGCATGAAGTAGTGGTTATGAGCGGCGGACTCTAATCTGGAGAACTGGGTTTGATTCCCCACTCCTCCACACGAAGCCTGCTGGGTGACCTTGGGACAGTCTGAGAGAACTGTGACTGACCCAAGGGCACCCGGCTGGCTGCATGTGGAAGAGTGGGGAATCAATCCCAGTCTGGCCCATAGCAGTGGTGGGGCAATTGCCCCTTCCTTAAAGGCCCAGCCCCCTCCTCTTAAAGGCCCCCCGCTTCTTCCCAAAAGCATTTAAAGGGATCCTTTAAATGTTTTTGAGAAGACGTGGGGGGTGGCATGCACCCCTCTCCCTCCCTCCTGGAAGATTTAAAGGACCCTCAAGCTGATCAGCAGACCACATGCTCTCCATTGATCAGCTGAAGCCCTTTAAATCTCTGAAGGAGGGGCAAGTAATGCCACCCCCACCGGGGGGAAAAAAATTGCCCCACAAGCCACAAAACCCTTATGGGCCTGAACCCAGTTTCCCACATTAGATGCTACCACTCTCAACCACTATGGGACACTGGCTGAAGTACCCCTTTCACCAGTAGAAAGGAGTATAAACACTTTGTAGCCCTAAACTGCTCTAAAAAAGAAACAGGGGGTTGGACTAGATGACCTGCAAGGCACCTTCCAACTCTAACATTCTATGATTCTATGAATATCTAAAAGACCAAGCAAGAATGATAACAATAAATTTTACAATCAACACTCCAACATAAACATACAATGAAGAGTTGTGGATGAAACCCAGCTCATCACTTTGAACTTCCTGCAAAAAGAGCCATGCAGTATAAATCAATGCGCAAACAGTTGCAGGGACGATGTGAAAGTCTCACAAGTAACGCGGCTCCGGGCTCTATAGGCACCGGTGGAATCGATAATGCACATCTGTCTTCATATAATCAAGACCAGGATTCCGGATATGACCTTGTTTCAAGATCTTTGTCAATCCTGATGAACAGAGACTTTAATGAAACTATAGGTTTCTTGAAAGGTTGGCTTGAAACTCAACATCAAAAAACGAAGATCATGGCATTCAGCCCCATCATTCCT